AATGGCATCTACGCTAATATTAGTCTCTTTCATTCTTATTCCGAGATCACTGTAGCCATACGAATCCAGTCTGTATCCAGATCGGATGTTCACCGTTGCCACCCAGATCCAGTCCATATCCAGACCAGATGATGGATCAGCACCTAGAAACGACCTCTACAACCCTCAATGTCAGTGGAGACCACGTCAACTAGATGCGCCCCAGAGACAGATCCCCTGCGAAGACCTCATCACCTCGGCACAAGACCACGGGAACAAGACGAGTCCTCTGCACCTGTGTTGCAGCCTGGAATTAACCACGCCATGCTGGTTTCATCTGGCCAGAGGAGAACTGGCTCCCCGACTGAGCCTGGTTTCTCCCAAAGTTGTGTCGCCATTTCTGTCACCGATGGAGTTTTGGTTCTTTGCCACTGTCGCCTTTGGCTTGCTTAGTTGGGGACACTTGACTGATTGCACAGACACTATTGGAAGAGAACTGAACTAGATGATGACATCACTGAATCATCAATGAACTGTCGTAAGCTGAAAAAACAACTCCGTTATTGTCTTCTTGCATAATTGACAAACAATTTTTCTGTTTGACACTGTAAAGCTGCTTTGACACAACCAGTATTGTATAAAGTGCTATACAAATAAAGGTGACTTGACTTGACTTTGAAAACTCTGAACGATATTAAATTTGTACTTGTGGATTCATATTCCAGTGCATCTGATTCAGCAGCATCTTGACAGTTTAATGATCCTGACAGTTTAATTATTCCACAAAATTAATAATCATTTGTTAAAATTCTAAGCTTTATGCTTCCATCCCATAAAGCAGTGGTTCTCAACTGAGTCTCCACTAAGTGATGTTTTATTAACAAGTTTCGGGAGGAGCGCGCACAGATAATTAACACGGCCAGTTCATCATCAGTAATTACACCATCTATCCAATCAGCTCAAGAGAGAACCTCTATAAGTAATCAAAGCAGCCTTACCTCCATTATCTCCCGTCCTTAGCATCCTTAGCACCATGTCAGACATCGAGCTTTTCCCGGACGATAATGAATTCGACACCACGGGTCCTCCGGCGTCTTCAGTCGCCGTCCAGCACACCAGCGCTCCGCAGGACACCATAAGCGAGCCCGCGGCTGCAACTCGGGGCCGCCGGCCCTCCCGCGCCGCCATCGCGCATACCTCCAGGCACCGAGGCACGCCATCACCTGCGCCTTCAAGGCGTCAGCCACCTTCTCCAGCGTCCTCCTACGCCTCAGCCCTCTCCCCCGCCCCAGCTGCGGAGAAATGGACCGTGGCAGAACTACGCCAGGCGCTCGTCAGCTCCGGCGTCAGCATCCCACGACGATCAGCCAAGGCAGATCTCCTCGCCCTCTACACTTCCCTCCAAACAGGGGCGCCTCCAAGCTTCACTCCTCCATCCAAGGCCGCGGACAAAGCGAGCCAGGGCCGTAGTGTTCCATACTCACGGCCCGAATTAACCACCACTCCTTCGAAGACGGGCTTCCGGCCAGCAGGCCGCAGCAAAAAGCCTTCGGCAAGCCTGGGCCGCGCCCCGGATGCCGCCAGCCCCAGACCGGGTCCGGGCTTAATCCCGAGCTCGGACCCCTCTCCCCGGCCATGGGGCGGGCCCCGGGCTCGAGAGTAATTACCGAGCTCGGAGCCCTCTCCCTGGACAGCACGCCAAATACGCACAACCTTTACTCGGTTCATTATAAGTAAGTGTGAACTCGTGAAGTGATGTTTTATTAACAAGTTTCGGGAGGAGCGCGCACAGATAATTAACACGGCCAGTTCATCATCAGTAATTACACCATCTATCCAATCAGCTCAAGAGAGAACCTCTATAAATAATCAAAGCAGCCTTACCTCCATTATCTCCCGTCCTTAGCATCCCTCCACCACCCCGACTCCTCACCTTCAGCCCGTTCCTACCCCAGCACGGGAAGGAACACTCGGGGGGAGCATTCTGGGTCCGGGCTTAATCCCGAGCTCGGACCCCTCTCCCCGGCCAGGGGGAGGACCCCGGGCTCGAGAGTAATTACCGAGCTCGGAGCCCTCTCCCCGGACAGCACGCCAAATACGCATAAACTTTACTCGGTTCATTATAAGTAAGTGTGAACTCGTGAATGAGCTTATGAGTTGAATCAGGTGTGATAGATGAGGGAGACACAAAATGTGCAGGGCTGGGGGTACTCCAGGACAGGTTTGAGAACCACTGCCATAAAGGTTCATGCACTAACAAAAGGAACACTCAAAATGTCTTAATCTATCAGTTTGTGACACTGAAAAGAGTATAAACAACAACATGCATTCTTATCAGTAGCCTGGATAAAATACGATAACCAATGATAATTTATGTACAGAAAGCCAAGCCAAGTTATTTGTCTACCACCTTTTGTAACCAGGCAGTACTGGCGATTGCGAACGTGGCTGTTAACTTCAGCTGCTGACTAAACAAGTTCTCAAGAGTTTGGCTAAAAGTTGATGACTAGTTAACAAAATTGTACATTCTCATAAACAAAATTCATTGAATGCTTCAAGGTTATTGTTGTGTTTTGGGAGCCCAAAATACAAATGCACAGACAATAATATGAGTACTGAATGCAGTTTAATAATCAAATGTGTAATTGAATGATTTTCATTCTAATGAATGATAATAAAAATGCATAAATAATAATAGTTCTGCTGGCATTTCATTGTAAAACACACTTTTGAAAACAGTAATGTAATATTAATGTAAACTATAAACAAGCAAAAACTGAAGTATCAAATGAACAATAAGAATGCACATTCTCATTTTTATAGAAGTGACATGACATAGAACAGACATGCATCTAATTCCAGGAAATCTTCGTTGTCATGAAAACTGATACCACATTATCAGATTTTGCGATGCTGAGGGGTTAAAATGCTGAGCAACAGATTTCAGCCTCACATGGGAGATCTTTAGAAAGATCTCAGGCATAGAGAGACTTGTTTTACAGATACAGGAGTAACATAAAATTACTTTTGTGTCCAAACATAGTAGTTAAATCTGAGAGGGGCAAGTGGCTTGTTGGAACATGCATAATTCTTCAAATAAATTCTAAATCTAGCCAAATAAACTTTTAGTGGTATAAAGGCTGCTGTAAACAAGGATGACCAGTGGAGAAACAGAACACAATATCTTCTGTTATCATATCAAACACACAGTAATTGACAGAAAAACACGTCTCAACAGTTTACGCTTTACATACTTTTATTGTGTAGCTGTAAGATACAATCAAAAGGATCACAATTATAACATTGTTAAAAAAATCTAAGCATTTCTATGGTTATATTAAAGTAAATTCATCATAGAGACTTTAAACATGCATGTTGGCTATAGATATGTGATAAATCATATTGAAGCTCTATAAAAATCTGCACAATTCCATTAGATCACAAGGGGATAGAAAAAGGCTTCATTTGAATCTGTGTAAAAAAGAAAACATATATATATATATATATATATATATATTTTTTTTTTTCCCATAACCGCAATTATTTTAAAACAAAATCCTCTATGGGGTTCCTGCAAATACACTTGACAATTGAATTGTACTCATAGCTGGTTTTTGGACTTTGTCTCTTTGTACACCATAGACCCCCCATTAGGACGAACTAAAGAGAGAGATTTATATATTACATTAAATAAAATGAAATAATTTTATGATCCATATTAATACTACACAATGCTTTGGCAAAAATACCTATTTCTTACTTTTGCAGCCACAAGCAGCAACTTGTTTCCAAGCTCCCCTCTCTGAACAGACTGTGTGGAGATATATTAGGTGACATTAGTCTCAAATTGAAAGGATAAACATTAATGTTGAAAAAAAATCCCTTATGGTTATTAATTTTCATGTGAAAACTACAGTAAATGGTGTAAGCAATGTATAGGTAAATTGTCACAGAAATTACCTGAGTTGTAGCACAAAATTGTGGTAAGAATCACCAGGGCAAACAGCAGACAAACTGGTTTGGACATTTTCACACTGGCGCTGCTGCAGCTTATTGAAAAGGTATGATTTCCACCTTCCTTTTATCCTCCTGTGGAATGGTTATCTCCCCTGCCCCTTTCCCATGTTACCCCCTTTTATACCCTAAACTATTCATGAGGGTTTAAATTTAATGACAAAAATGAGTCTCAACATGTTCACCGTGCATACCACAATTTCACCTGAATGCGAAGGAGATACTGCTTGTTTACCTCCAACTTAAACAACAACACTCAAGAGAAAACATGTTCAAATCTGATAAAGCTGATCTTGGCAGATCACAATGTGTGGGATTGAATAACTGCAATATATATTAGCAGTGGAGCTATGAGTGGAGGTCAGACTCTGAGCATCTGTTATGAATCACTAGTTTGTTGCCTTATAATAGAGTACGCTAGGCTTGTACGGTTTATTTGGTCTATATGGCATACGTTAACACCATTCAGAGTTCGAAATTATTTTTTTAATAACCTGGGGGATGAACTGCAAACATTTTTGGCTGCGAAACTTTAACAGAAACATCGCACTAACCTATAAATTATTAGTGTGCCTATACGTTTTCCCCAAACATGTCCTGTCCTTGCCTAAAATGTCTGTTTTTTCTCTGTTTTCTCTTGCTGAGCCAGGACATGTCCAAGAAATAAGAGAATGTATGGTCAAACTACTATACGTTGTTTCTCCCTTGTATGTGCAGCAAAGAGTGGAGATTTTGTTTAACTTGCAGCACCATTTGAAACTCCACTTGACACAAAACCATACATCACTCTTACATCAAACTCATCACCTAGAGAATTAAATAAAAAAAAATAAAAAAAAGATAAACTTTGGTAAGGCATCAACTGACCAGTGTTTCTGACTAAACAAACCACCTATTGTGTGTGTTATATAAGGTATTTCATACAACAGTAAGGTGATACTTCATAAGACAGAGAACAAAGAGAACACTGGATTAAGTAAATATTTACGTACAATAAACTGAAACCAAACATGCTATGGTTTGCCAGTTATGAAGAAAGTTTTTAAACACCTGAATGCGCAGCTGGTTAATGTTCTTATTTTCCAAACATCAAACATTACTAGGCGCTGTAAAAATCTAAAGCATAAAAATGAAACAAAAACAAACAAAGGAACAAACAACAACACGCTGCATTCACATGTTTTTTTTATTTATTTCCATGGCATTTATTGAAGCTTGGTGTAAATATCATGGTATATGTAGGCTATGTGGGTCACCTAATACATCATATTAAAGCATCACACAAGAGAGACTGATTTCAGAAGATGTGTCCAAACCTTTCATCACGATGGCTTGGGCCATTAATAAACAAGGAAGGAACACGACCATGTGATATTTCTCTACTGTCACAAATGTTGTAGGCAAATGCACAACGATGATGAGAACGATTAAAAAGGACTTAAGACAATCCAAACACAAGGGTAACATCAACGTATGCACTGACACAATTTCGGACAAATAAGAGATGGAAACAGAGAAACTTAAATACAAGGCAAACGAGGGCAATAAAGACAAACACCTGTGCTGATTAAATGAATTACCATGGAAACACATGAGCGGCGGGAACTAAAACAAAGGAAACAAGTGATAGGGAAAATAAAAGTCCATTAAAATAAATATATCTGAATATAACTGTGACGTTTACTCAATAGTTCAATAAAAAAGTTAATATTGAGTGATTTACATTTTAAATACAGTCAACTAGCAGCACAGTGGTGTTTAATTTTTTCAGATTTTAAGCTGAGTAAATAATTCAATGACTCACTCACAAAAGGAACCTGCACAAGTCGATGAAGTGAAGATAGCAAAACTGGAAATATATTTTTTTATGCTCGATTTGTTTTGGACTTTATTCTCCAAGTAAACGTGTTAAATCAATCAGCCGTTTGAACGAATCGATTGAATGAATGACTCAGTGACTTACTCATGTAGTGATTTGCCGCCTCCTACTGGCGAGTTCAGGTTTATAATAAACGATTTGGAATACAGACAGTAGGTTGGTCTCTTTTTAAAGGGGTCATATGATGTTGCTAAAAAGAACATTATTTTGTGTATTTGGTGTAATGAAATGTGTTTATGCATTTTAAGGTTAAAAAAACATTATTTTCCTCATACTGTACATTACTGTTTCTCCTCTATGCCCTGCCTTTCTGAAACGCGTCAATTTTTACAAAGCTCATTGTTCTGAAAAGCGAGGTGTGCTGTGATTGGCCAGCTATCCAGTGCATTGTGATTGGCCGAATACCTCAAGCGTGTGACGGAAATGTTACGCCCCTTACCATACTGTGATGCCGTGTCCCGGCGCGACCAACAAAACCAATAAAACCCACTATAAACGAGGCATTTGCTGCATCCAGTGGAGACATAATTATGGATCATAATGACTTATACTGTCTTTTTACGCGTTGCATCGCGCCGCATAAACATAAAACCATGTCTGCATTTGTGATCTGAGAAATGAATAACTGTGACGTTTACTCAATAGTTCAATAAAAAAGTTAATATTGAGTGATTTACATTTTAAATACAGTCAACTAGCAGCACAGTGGTGTTTAATTTTTTCAGATTTTAAGCTGAGTAAATAATTCAATGACTCACTCACAAAAGGAA